GGTCTCTCTTCTCCCATCATTGTGCCGCTCTCCCAGGCCCTCCATTTGGAGAACTTGTTCAGTGCTGCGCAGTAGTATCTGCCGCAGTCGCTACCCCGTGCAGTGCTCCATAAAGATCTACTGGACGAGTAAACAAATAAGTATTTTTACCTCTCCTATCCCTGACAAGTCGGCCGAAATGGTCATACACCTCGACGCTCGACACTGAAATCCGGGGGCCTCTTTTCCTGGAGTCCAGGACTTGACACAATACTTCACCTCTCCTGCCCACCACACCCTATTATTCTCATCTGCTTCACATCCTCCAAGGACGCCGGAACGCTCAGGATGACGGGCACACAGCACACACGCTCCTACGGACCACTCTAGGGTCCAACGGTGCCACTTCCCACCCTCCAGCCAGGCTGGCTTCCTCCCTTCTGGCTCTGCCCAGGCAGCTCCTGCTGTTGGCAGCACCCTGCCTACATCCCTTGCCTGGCTAACGCTAATCACACTTCAGGCTCAACCTAAACCCCCCTTCCTCAAAAGGCCCTTCTGTGCCCCTGCACCCTTCAAAGGTGGCTCTTCCAGTCTTTCCAGCAGCCCCGCTTCCTTGCCTTCCCACGGCATCCACAATCGGAAGGCTCTGCAGTGGAATACGGGACACAGCTGCGCAAAGAAGGGACACAACGGGGTGCTGGAGACCCCAAGAACTACCGTCTGAGCACCAGCACAACACTGAAACACGGGATCGCTGGTTCAAACACTAAGGACACCTAGACCAGAGAATAGCGGGGCATTAAAAAGCAGAGCCCGGGGTCTTCTGAGCTTGGGGTGCTTTGTGACGCTACAGACCACATCTCCGTGAAGGTACCCTGTCTGGAAAGATACAATGCACCTCTGGGTGCCCAGTCAGGCTAGCACGGATATGTTCAGGTGGCCACGCATCCTCAGAGGCAGGGCGGCCCACTTGTTTTACGGAGAGACACCAGAGCGCCATCCTTGAGTGCACGCTCCATTCAGGCTAAGTTCTTCCACCGTCAATGGAGCACACGCTTCAGTCAGCAGACATGGGCCAAAGCCAAGAGAAGGGGAGACGGTGACAGGAGCGTTTCATCAGCCTTTTTATGATGCAGCCAATAAAAGCCGAGAAACCTCCCAGGGTAATAAAAGGCTCCCCTCATCCTCTCCAAGTATTTCAGCTTATCAAGTGTTCCCTGGGTTTTTTAATAACGGCTTCTAGCAAGTAAATGTTAATAAACTATAGACCAGAAGTGTTGTTCTTCCAGGCACCCCACTGAGTATTAGACAATGCAGCGTGTGCACTTTCAGGAACAGACTGTGGGTCCAAAACCACAAAGCAATCGCATCTTAATAAAATCATCAACAGGAAGTACACCGTTCTAATGGTTTATTTCAAACAAGAGAGCCAGACCATGAAGTCTCTCGCACGCTCAACTTGCCACAAGGCAAGTCTCCTCAGCATTCATTGTTTCTCCGCCTCTGACCTGGACGCTTTTAGTTTACTTCTAGGGCCCATCTCCTGTAGCAGTCGTGATGCCACGCCGTGTTTCGTAACAATAGTCTGAAAAATCCCTGATCTGCGATGAGAACGCGTTTCCGACCAGTGTCCCCATACACACATAGACACAGAAGTCAAATAAAAGTTTGCCGAGTCCAGTCCTCAAGTGTTTTATATTTTGTTGTACTTGACAAAAAAAAAAGTCTGACCCACTCATTTCTCCCCCATGGGGATGCAGATGGTTAACTGGTAGGCTGCTGGACCATTTGAGTTCACCCAGAGGCAGCTCAGAGCAAAACGCATGGTGATGTAATTTGGGGAAAAATTCAACCACTGGAAACCATTCAGGCACATAGTCCTATTCGGACACACCTGGGTATGTGACCCTGCGGCAACTGGTTTTTTAAAAAAAATCATTTTATTGGGGGCTGGCTTTGGTTTTAATGCATCCTAACCCACCACTGGGAAATGGCATGATTTGAGACCCTAAGTGGCCCGCATTCTGGTACACATTGCCTGGACTTTATCCACTGGACCTTAAATCAAACTTTGTCTGAGTTGGTCTGCAAAACGTGATGAGCATTTAAACGATATTTCGCGCTGAAAAGAGAGGGGAATTACAGAGTTTGAAGTTGCACAAAGGCAGATTTTCTGGGGCATAATAGTCACGCCCTGGTGTGCAGACGGGGAAGGCTTCCTTCCACAGAGGGCGGAGAATGGCAAAGTCAGGAACTTTCTCTATCTGGCCTCCTCAGCAGGTAGGTGTGTGTGTATGTGTGTTGGGGATGGGGGGGTGGGGGGTGGGGCGACACTATTCTGTTTGAAGAGGCGAGGCGTCTTTCCCAGCATCAGAGGGCTCAGATTCACACACTTAAAAGCATTTCAAAGAACGTTTTTTCCTATTATCTTAGGAGGCTTCCGCCTTGCCTTCTTGGTCGCCGACAAATGATCTGTCTGCTCCTTTATCAAGTCTCTTGCACCTACACCCCTTCCCTGTCTGCGTTCTCTGGTCTCCGGACCAGTCACACTCTGGATTCCAGACCCTTCGCTACAGGCAGACAAAGTAACTCTGCTACCGGGCTGTGCCTCCAGAAACAAGTTCAAGTACACCCCCAGTTTCCGGTCTGGCCTGGAGAATCTAGGACTTCCATCCCCTAGCCCAGCTTCCACCCAGGGCAAGGCTCTCTCTCCTGACAGCACGCTTCTATATATACCATGCAAGTAAGCCCCTTTGGAATGGCATGAAGCATGATGAAATGCCTGCTGTGGGTTCAGGGCCAGCTAGGACCACTTACACATGATCTCCCGATTTTCACACCATCTTTCCAGAGGCCATGTGAGCTGAGTAAGTGACAGAAGCGAGCTGACGCAGGCTTGCAAAGAAAGTCTGGGCTCTTTCCACGACCAGCTCCCTCCACGAGTTGCCCTCAGGATGCCACACATTCTTTAAGTGATGCCCCACACTGTCACTCCAAGTCACCTACAGAGGGAATGTGGTGTAGCTATGATGGAAGCATGTCCGTGGCGAGCGCACTGGGTTCTCTGGAGCAGGCTCCCCAGGAAGAAGCTTGGCTGAGCTCAGCACCAAGAAGGGTCAATTGCCTTTCTAATCAACCAATAGCTTACTTTGTAAAGGCATCACAGAGCTCTGGATCAGCTACAAGGATGTGCTTTGGGCCCCAGCTGAGAAGAGAAATCCACTGCACCCAGACACAGCCTGAGGGCAGGCAGGCACAATGGCCTCATTCCCTGTCCACCATTTCCCTTCCACCTGTTTCTCTCGACTGCTGCTGTGCCATGCAGGGCCTGTCTTTATAGGTCACCTTCAATCTTCGCTAGAACAGAATATGAAACAAGCAAAGGCTACCCGCTATGTTCCATTCTCCTCATCTCAGGGGCTTTTTCCGACCCTCCACCTGCCCTGGTTGACTTACAACCCAACCAGGGCATTGCTGCCTCCGCCCCCGTGTTTCACTTCCACGACCCTGAACTCTTGGAAGTTCGCAATCAAGCATTCTAGTAAGTGTGATCACTGACCCATTCCTACAACATATGCAAGGGAAAATTGCATAAAAGAATCTTCTGGCAGGACATTGGGCCTCCACTCAAGTACTCCCTCAACGCAAGAATACTTT